TTGGCATTGAGATGGAGGTCTCTGGGAGATTTTTGCCTTGATATTATGTGGAGCTGGGAGGTCTCTGGTGGGCCTTTGTTCTGAATTTGGCTCTCCCACCTCAGAGGCACAGCCCTGATTCCTGGTTGGAGCACCAAGAGCCTGTTATCCACACAGCTCAGAATAAAAGGGAGAAAGAAAGAAAAGAAAGAAAGAAAGAAAGAAAGAAAGAAAGAAAGAAAGAAAGAAAGAAAGAAAGAAAGGGAGGAAGGGAAAGAAGGAAGGAAGGAAGGAGAAAGAGATAAAATAAAATTATTAAAATAAAAAATAATTATTAAAATTTTTTTAAGTAATAAAATAAAGAATGAAGAGAGCAACCAAACCAGAAAAAATTCCACCAATGATAACAAGCGCTAAAAACTATACTAAAAAAAAGGAAAAAAAAAAAAAGGACAGACATCACCCAATGACAAATGGTAAAAGCAAAGATGTACAGACAAAATCACACCCAGAAACACACACATATACACTCACAAAAGGAGAAAAAGGGGAAAATATATATATATCATTCCTCCCAAAGTCCACCTCCTCAATTTAGGATGATTCGTTGTCTATTCAGGTATTCCACAGATGCAGGGTACATCAAGTTGACTGTGGAGATTTAATCTGTTGCTCCTGAGTCTCCTGGGAGAGATTTCCCTTTCTCTTCTTTGTTTGCATAGCTCCTGGGGTTCAGCTTTGGATTGGCCCCGCCTCTGCGTGTAGGTCGCCTGAGGGCGTCTGTTCTTCGCTCAGACAGGACGGGGTTAAAGGAGCAGCTGCTCCGGGGGCTGTGGCTCACTCAGGCCGGGGGGAGGGAGGGGTACGGATACGGGGTGATCCTGTTGCGGCAGAGGCCGGTGTCACGTTGCACCACCCAGAGGCGCGCCGTGTGTTCTCCCAGGGAAGTTCTCCCTGGATCGTGGGACCCTGGCCGTGGCGGGCTGCATAGGCTCCCGGGAGGGGCGGTGTGGATAGTGACCTGTGCTTGCACACAGGCTTCTTGGTGGCTGCAGCAGCAGCCTTAGCATCTCATGCCCACCTCTGGGGTCCGCGCTGATAGCTGCGGCTCGCCCCTGTCTCCGGAGCTCCTTTAAGCAGCGCTCTTAATCCCCTTTCCTCGCGCACCAGGAAACAAAGAGGCAAGAAAAAGTCTCTTGCCTCTTAGGCAGGTCCAGAGTTTTTCCCGGACTCCCTGCCTGCTAGCTGTGGTGCACTAGCCCCCTTCAGGCTGTGTTCACGCCGCCAAGCCCAGTTCTCTCCCTGGGATCCGGACCGAAGCCCGAGCCTCAGCTCCCAGCCCCGCCCGCCCCGGCGGGTGAGCAGACAAGCCTCTCGGGCTGGTGAGTGCCGGTCGGCACCGATCCTCTGTGTGGGAATCTCTCCGCTTTGCCCCCCACACCCCTGTTGCTGTGCTCTCCTCCGCGGCTCCGAAGCTTTCTGCCTCTGCCACCCTCAGTCTCCGCCTGCGAAGGGGCTTCCTAGTGTGTGGAAACCTTTCTTCCACAGCTCCCTCCCACTGGTGCAGGTCCCATCCCTATCCTTTTGTTTCTGTTTATTCTTTTTTCTTTTGCCCTACCCAGGTACGTGGGGGAGTTTCTTGCCTTTAGGGAAGTCTGAGGTCTTCTGCCAGCGTTCAGTAGGTGTTCTGTAGGAGTTGTTCCACGTGTAGATGTATTTCTGGTGTATCTGTGGGGAGGAAGGTGATCTCCGCATCTTGCTCTTCCGCCATCTTCAATCCCCTTATATCATTTTAGTGTTTACCATGTTTCATGGCTTTTATGTTCTACTTTGTGCTGGATAAATATTGACTATAGCACTGACTTTGTTTGTCACTTTAGATTTTAGATTAGTGGTTGTCACTCCCGACTGGTTAAAAGAATGATCAGTGAGGCTTTTTATAGGACCTAGATCTGGGGCCTATTCTAGAGCAGACCCACTGAATCGGACTGTCTGGCTGTGGACCATGAAATCTAATACCCAAAAACGGTGTCACAGAAAACCAGAGGCAGACACACATGAAAGTGGTAAAGGCAAATCTTATTCAATAACTATTGCAATAGTGGAAAAGAAACCTTGGTATAGAACTAGGCTTCATTCTGAATACAACAAGGGCACGTAGGGGTGTATAGCCAAGAAGCAGGGTGAGTGTCAGTGAATGAAAATTACTAGGAGGAAACATTAGAGGAAGGGGGATTTGCCTTAAACCAACTTGACAGGATTCTTGCTGAAGGCAGGCCAGGGGGATAAGATTGAGGGTGGGATAAGGAAATTTGAGGGTAGGGGATTTTCACTAAACTGACTCAGCAGGATTCTTGCTAAAACTAGACTAAGGGGTCCAAGGACAAGCCCAAGAGCTAGGCCTCGTCACAAAGAGGACTCAGAGGAGACTTCCCTGGTGGTCCAGTGGTTAAGAATCTGCCTTCCAATGCAAGGGACGCGGGTGTGATCTCTGGTCGGGGAACTAAGATCCCACATGCCATGAGGCAACTAAACCCATGCGCTCTAGAGCCCGTGCCTCACAACTAGAGAGACTGCGTGCCGCAACTACTGAGCCTGTGTGCTCTGGAGCCTGCGCACCCCAAGTAGAGAGAAGCCCGCATGCCGCAATGAAGAGCCCGCACCACTACTGAAGATTCTGCGTGCCGCAACTAAGACCTGATGCAGCCAAAAAAAAAGGAGGACTCAGAGGAGCCCAACCAAGGAGAGATTCTTTGTCAACATTAACAGCTATTACAAATTATAACAACATGATTCTGATGTATGCATTTGTAGTGAGAACTGCATCCTTATTCCCATAGAGGTTTGAGCCTTGATATTTCATTTAGATCTTTTCTTGATCTCCTTTTTAGTAGTAACTTCATGATCCTGTAAATGGACAACTTTCTTCCAAAGCCTTTTCTTCTTTAGCCTTTTACTGGAGAGTACCATGGCACCAAAAGGAGAGAAGTTAAGACCAAATAAATCATGTTTTGAAGCAAACACACTTCAACAAATATTAAGGTCCTACTGTGTTCCAGGTAGTGTTCTAGTTGGTGGGGATATAGTAGTGAAAAAGGCAGACATGGGACAGCCACTCTATTAGTTGGGGACATGGTAGTCAAAGAGTAGAATATAGTACATCAATAAATAAACAAGTTAATTTCACATAGTGATGCACTATGAAGAAAATAAAAGAAGGGTATAATAGTGATTTGGGGAAGGTTGTATTAAGGACAGGAGGTTTAATCTGAAATTATTATTACAGGTTGTTATTAGTCATGCTCAGATTTGGGATCTACTAATCCAGGTAGAGAAATAATAGTAAATACAAAGGCCCGAAGTCAGTGACAAGCTTGATGTATTTAAGGGACAGAAAGAAAACCAGTAGGAGAAGAGCATTGTAGGCAATGGTATGTGATGAATCTCCTAATACCTATTAAGGGTGATTCCAAGGTTTTTGACATCGAGCAACTGGCTCAATTATCATTTTAATAGTAAAATTATTAAGATGAGGAAGACTGAGGCAAATTGAAGGAAGACTGGGGCAGCAAGAGATGCCCATTAGGTGTGAAGCCCTAAATATAGGCTTCTGGATGTGGGATTTTGGATCTGTGTGTGTGTCTGTCTCTGTCTCTGTCTTTCCCTCTCCTTTTTTCCCTCCCTTCCTCTTCTTTCCACCTGGGCCTTTCCACATATCAGCTTCAGGATAACCAGACTTCTTGTATGCTTACATGTTGATCAAAGGCTCCCAGAGCGATTATTCTAAGAGTGACGTACAGAGGCTGCATGGAATTTTCTAACCTAGCTGCAGAGGTCATGCAGCGTCACAGACTGCACCTCTTTTTTTTTTTTTTTTTTCATTGTAAATGCTTTGTTGCTTTTTATTCATTTTTTTCACTTTATTTATTTTTATTGGAGTATAGTTGCTTTACAATGTGTGTTAGTTTCTGCTGTACAGCAAAGTGAATCAGCTATACGTATACATATATCCCCTCTTCCTTGGATTTCCTTCCCATTTAGGTCACCACAGAGCACTGAGTAGAGTTCCCTGTGCTATACAGTCGGTGTTCATTAGTTATCTATTTTATACATAGTAGTGTATATATGTCAATCCCTCTTGATGGGAAGTGTGTCACAGGATTTGCAGCAATGTTTTAAAATGATCACATTATAGAATCCCTCATTATATTAAGTTTATTATCTTTAAAGATTAGTAATCATTTCCCTTTTAAAGTATTGTTGAACAATAACATACCTTTGGAATTATTAATGATATAGTACTTTCCTCTCTGTATAGTTAAAATTATTGCCTTAAAATTATAAACCACTTATTTATGCTGTACTGGTGGTTCTAAGGTCTTCATATCACCTCCTATGTTACACAGATAGCTCACTGAATCCTATGACACTTCATCAAATGAAATAAAACATTGAAGACAATAGAGTTCTTCAAACTTTTGAAATTCTTCAGAGGTCTCTAGCCCTATCCTTAAAGGATGTAAGAGGAGGTTTCCAATTGTGGTTGTCATTTGTTTGCTAGAATGAGTCCTATATCTGTTGGCTGGTAAAATGAAAATTTTCAATGGCTGAATCTCTAAGGAATTTTTAAAGAGTTTATGCCTTGTGTGTTATTTTTGTATTTTTTGAAAAAGCAGTATTTTTTTTTCTTTTAAGTTATCTGGAATTTTATAATTTATTCCTTTGGGTTAGATTCTATTAGAAAGGGAAATAGGATTGTATTTTATTTTTTATATGAGTGAGTTTAATAACTCAACATATGTGATTCTTATCCCTATGTGTTTCACACCTTGGAAGCTTTTAGAAAAAAAAACCTATGGCCAGGTCTTACCCTCAGGGATCCTGATTAGTTGATTTGGGATGGGGTCCAGGTATAGGTATCTTTTACAACTCCCCAGGTGATTCTTTTATGAAGCCATATTTGAGACCCAACTGCATCTAACTCTGGTATTTGCTGATGATAATCTTAGTCTCTGTAACAGGGAAAACAAATGGAAGACCTGCCTGATGCAGCTGTTTTGGCGACTAGACTTAAAAACACTCTCATCCAATACCACAGCCTTGAAGATGACAAGTGGCGAGTTGCTAAGAAAATGGTAAATTAATTAAATTACTTATGTTTGAGGGTGTATCTTCTGTCTAATGAGCTGGTGGATGACTTTCAAAATGGTACGGAAAAATATGGACCATACTTTAGATGAATGTGCGGGATAGATAAACGTGCTAATGTAGTTGATGGTTTACTGTCTCACAAAGGAAGAAACATAATAATCCTGCACTGCTTTCATTAGCTCCTCAGATATTGGACACAAGAATAGACTCATGGCAACAAGATTGTAAAGAGCAGCCTCTCAAGTCAGTAAATAAAATGTGTCATTGTCAGTTTAAGGAAGTATAGTAATGGATAATTTGAAATCGTTTCAGATATTTTAACAAGCCTGTGAGAATGGCCAGTTAGTATTTTTTTACCAATATGACATACCTGAGTGTTGACAGAGCCAGTCCTTGAACCCAGGACTCTTCCAGTTAAGTCCTCTGGCTATTCTGCTATTCAGAATTTCTTGGGAAATGATCTAGAAAAAAATGTAGGGACTAATTCAAGGTAGCACTATAGATTTGAATTGTTTAATTTTAAAAAGATGTGAGCAAGTTCAGAATGAAGTATTTAACATTTCTATTATCTCAGTCTAAATGTGTCAGTAATGGTAAATAGATGAGATTGGAATGGGGCAAATAATAATGGCCAATGAGATAGTGCCATCACCGAATCTTAACAGTGTTTGGGTGTCATTGAGCTATTGAAAAACCTTTTGTAGGGGTTTGTAATTTAAATAAGATGTGTACTACTTTCAGATACAGAAGAAATTCAGATATGGATTATTTTATGGTATAAATTACTTTTGCGTATTTCTTTGAATATTTACTTATGTTTTATTTTCATGCAAAAGCTAATGCTGTAGAATTTACGAAATTGTCAGTTTTATATCCAGGTTTCCACCTATGTAATTATCAGCATACACTGTTTTTATTTTTCTAGAAAGATGTAACAATTTGGAGGAAACCTTCAGAAGAATTTAATGGATATCTGTAAGTAAATTCCTGTAGTGTTACGTAGCTCTTAGGACATTGCTAAACTTCAGATATATACACACCTACACACATGATCACTGAATGATCATTGCCAGCAAAATTTGGCTTTTGCTTTAAGATGTTAAACTTTCTGAGAAGCAAATCCTGTTATGAATTCAAAGCCTTTAAAATGTCCATATCCCTGGTGGACAGAGTTGGTGGTGAGGGGATCATAAATAATATGATATCATTAATGATATCAGATAGCTGATAAAATCTTAATTTCTTACTATGGTGTATAAGACCCTTCTAATATTCTTTCTGCATTTATTCAGTGCTGTAGCATATTTTATTTTATTTTATTTTTTTGCACGGGCCTCTCACCGTCGCGGCCTCTCCCGCTGCGGAGCACAGGCTCCAGATGCGCAGGCCCAGCAGCCGCGGCCCACGGGCCCAGCCCCTCCACGGCATGTGGGATTCTCCCGGACCGGGGCACGAACCCGTGTCCCTGCATCGGCAGGCGGACTCTCAACCACTGCGCCACCAGGGAAGCCCCTGTAGCATATTTTATTCTAAGAAATTTATCTTGAAGAAATCATGGGAAAATTAATAGTTATTTAAACTTGTCTCTTCCATCACAGTATTACTTAAAATATTAAAAATTACAAACAACCTGAATAATCAATTGTTGGGGAATGATTAAATTATAAAATGTGCTATTTTACAGTCTTTAAAAACATAATAAAATGCTCAAGATACAATGAAAAGTGAATAAAGCAGAATACTAAACTGTATGTAGCACAATCATGGGTTGACTTTAAATATATATTTTTTATATATTAAAATGTTTTATTTAACACAAAATATATACCTCTAGATGTCAGTTTTATGTGTGATTTTTACTTCTGTTTTTTGATTTTTGCATATAGTTGAACACGAATTATGCCTTTAACCAGTAAAAAAATATTGTTTTTTAAAGCCAGAGGAGATAGTTGCCACGTGAAATTGGAGTGGAATAGTCACATCCTTGGGACTCAGCACTTTTTAAAATGAAACTGTTGACTGAACTTACTATATACAGTGTATTTTGAAGTGTATTACCAAAGATAGTGTTTCCAGGAAGATAAGTTGTACAGTATTTATGAGGACAGGGAAACTGGAGTTGGATTAAACATTGTAAGCAAGTGTAGAAGTTAATCCTTTAGATCAGTAATCCCTGCTGGGGCGAAAAAGTGTAAAAAGTGCCAAGGGAGCACTATGCTTGGTGATATGGAAAAACTTCATAGGGGAGCTAATATTGGAGCGGAGTCTTAAAGAACGAATAGGTATTTCTTAGGGAATGAAGGATAAATTCATATTCCAGGCAGAGAGCATTTCATTTACTACGTTCACACAGATGGGAAACACTTTAAGGAGTTTATTTAGGGAAGTTGAAATTGTGTTTGTATAGCTGGAGCATTAAGTATGGGGGTGGGGAGAGGATGTCTGAAGGATTTTTTTTTTTTTTTTTTTTCTGTACGCGGGCCTCTCACTGTTGTGGCCTCTCCCATTGCGGAGCACAGGCTCCGGACGCGCAGGCTCAGCGGCCATGGCTCACGGGCCCAGCCGCTCCGCGGCATGTGGGATCTTCCAGGACCGGGGCACAAACCCGTGTCCCCTGCATCGGCAGGCGGACTCTCAACCACTGTGCCACCAGGGAAGCCCTCTGAAGGATTTTTGAATTCTAAACTAAGGCATTCAGTTTTGCGTTACCTACTGCTCAACCCTACCCATACATCCCAGGTCCTCAGAGGATTTTGCATTTATTCTAATAACAGTTGTGAAAGAGAAATGAGCATGGAAAGTTTAGAGAAGAGCTTGTATTCTTGGGGTCCATGGCTAGCTTCTTGAAGTGTCCCTAAGATTGTATACAAAGTTTTGTGACAATGTGTATGTTCCTGGGAAGAGATCTGTGGCTTTTTTCAGATTCTTAAAGAGTTATATGATCAGAAGAGCTAGAAACTGATGCAGTGTTGAGTTGGACACAGAGTTCCCAAACTAAGGACATAGCATGGGAGTTGAAAAGGACAAATGAACTTGAAAGAGATTTATGATAGTGATGGTGGTGGTGATGATGATGATGGTGATGATAACTAACAGTTATTGAAAACCAGATATTGTTCTAAGCAGTTTACGTTTGGAAAATCATCTTGATGAAACATGGTGACTTATTAGTTCTGACTATTGGAACGGGGTTAAGAGAAAAAGAAGAGTCAAAATTGAATCCCAGATTTCTAATTTGTGCCTGAAGTAATTTGTATTACCCACCTCCTACCCCCACCCTCACCCCAAGTTAGAGAACACAGGCAGAAGAGCAGACTTAGGATGGAACATAATATAAGCTTGAGCTTGAGAGATTTACAAAATGATAAAAAGGCTTCAGATGCTTAAAAAGAGAAAAAAGACCCCTGAAAACAATGATGGAGTTAAAGCCAATCTACCTCTCTTTTCTTTCCTCCCCAGAGATAACTACTCTCTTGAAGTTGTGTGTATTATTCCTATTTCACACTTTGACTGTGTGTGTGTTTTAGTAATACGCTTTAATTTTTTCTGTTCAATACTGTTTTCAAGAGTTACCCATGTTGTTACATGTTGATCTAGTCTTTCACTTCTGTATTCATATACCACAATGTGTTTATCTGTGTTTGCAAGTTTGCCTACTGATGAATTTTCAGGTTGTTGTGAATTCTTCTCTACAGTAAGCTTTTTGGTACATGCCTCCTTCTACACACATGTAACATTTTCTTGGGATGTGCCTGTGTCTTAGGGACATACATCATCCCACTTTACTGCATGTTGCCAAATTGCTCTCTAAAGTGGTGGTAGCACTTTGAGAGTTCTCATTCCCTTCCATTCAACACTTGTTATTAAGTTTTTAATCTCTGTCAGTTTTTCAAGGGTATGAGATGGTGTATTGCTAGTAATTACTTGATTATGAGTGAAATTGAGCATCTTCTCTAAGTTTATTGACATTTCAGGTCAATCTTGTCCTTTGCCCATCTTTTGTTTGGATTGTCCTCTTCTCATTGTTTCATAGGAATTAATCATATATCCTCTATAGTAAGTATATATCTGTATATATGTGTTGCACTTATCTTCTTCCACTCTGTGGCTCGTTTTTAAAGAAATTACTTATTTTGTCATTTGTGGTATGTAAGTTTTTAATTTTAACCATCTTGTGTAATTTGTGTTTTTGTGTGTTTTATGTATTCAAGTAATCCCCCTGTATCCTGAGGTCACAAAGATGGTCACTTGTATATTTTTCTCAAAATTTAAAAGTTTTACCTTTTACATAGTGGTATTTAGTCTATCTGGAGGTATTTTGAATGATGTGAAGTAAGAATTCAGTTTTTATTCTCTCTGTTAGGATAACTGTTGAATCCAAACACTATTTTTGAACTAGTATATCTTTTTCCTACTGGTATGTAATGCCGCCTTTGAAATATGTCAAGTTCTGATATTATTCATGAGTCAATCCTGGGCATTCTATTCTAGGGTGACCTATATTTCTATTCCTAATAAAAAGGTTTCAAAAGTTAGGGTAAGAATATGCATATACTAATAACATGTTAGAACATAGTTGAGAAAAGAAGAGCATATGAAATAAATGGAAGCATTACAGTGTTCTACAGACTGCTCTTGGCTACACCATAACATGAAGGTATTTTACTATGTTTATGATAATGCATAAGATAGCCTTCAAATCTCTTATTAGATTTGAGGACGTTTTAGAGTACATTCTGATGAAATAATTGACAGAACCTAATTTATCAGAAAAGTCGGGGTTTACTCTTTTTAAAAAATCTTCATTAAATTTTATTTTTTTTGATGTGAGCTCTGAACTGTGAGAGCATGCTGAAATTTTTCATTCTAATAGCATTTGACTTTCATATGTTTTCTCCAGCTTCAAAGCCCAAGGTGTTATAGACGATGTCGTCAATAGTGTAATAGACCATATACGTCCAGGTCCCTGTCGCTTGGATTGGGACAGCTTAATGACCTCATTGGATATTTTGGAGTACTTTGAAGAGGTATTTGTTTAGAAATGTTGCTTCAGATTGTGTGTGTGTGTGTGTGTGTGAGTGTGTGTGTGTGTATGTGTGCGCATGTGCACATGTGTATACTTGCATTCATTATATTCATTGCTTTGAGAATAAGTAGTCATGGCAAAGATCTCACAGGGGAATCCTTGCTGCCTTTCAAAAAGCTTGAGTTTCCTCATATTAACTAATGAGTGTTAGTCAGAACTGAGTTTGTTTTCTGCAATAGCTTTACCCTTGCTGCTTAAGAAAATCATCAGTGTCTTTAATTGTAAAACTTTAGCTGAGGTTCTGAAATCTAAAATTCTGAAAATACCACCATCATATTCAGGTTTCTAGGTAATAGTATGTAGGTTTTCCATTAACATTTAGCCAAAATCAAAGATAAAAATGCCACCTTAGGCATTAGAGAATTATGTAACCTAAGTGGCTTTCTTTCTTTGTCTGTTTCTATTAACTCATTCCTTGCCATGTTTGGATTTCTTTATTGACACATTTGGTGTTTTAGTCAAAGTACTTGTGGATTTTATCTTATACACGTACAGTCTATACTACCTGCTTCCACTTTTATCATATAGGATAAGAGGTGACTCTACTGAAACAGAGATTTGGATACTGGGTAACTTACCTCTGTGTTTTGATTGTATATCCTCTTCAAGTCCATACAGTCGCCGTGAGATATAGAATAGAGATCTAAACCTGTCAGAATCACTGTAAGAAATGTTATTAATATTTATTATAACACACTTTAAGTGAGTGTTAATTTTTTACTAAAGATTAACTTATGATATATGAGTCTATGTATATATTTCCTATAGTACTAACAGCTGTTACCTGTTCTCTTTCAGAATTGCTGTGTGATGCGTTATACTACTGCTGGTCAGCTTTGGAATATAATTTCCCCAAGAGAGTTTGTTGACTTCTCCTATACTGTGGACTATAAAGAAGGGCTTTTATCCTGTGGTAATTGTCTCAAAACCTTTTACTTTCTCTTGGTTTGTTTTAAATTTTGAGTTTTCTAGGCTGGATGTTTCTTTCTACACAAGATATATTTTCAACTTTCATACTTATCTTTAAAAAAATTATTTTATTTAATTAATTTATTTTTGGCTGCGTTGGGTCTTTGTTGCTGTGCATGCACGGGCTTTCTCTAGTTGTGGCGAGCGGGGGCTGCTCTTTGTTGCAGTGCGTGGGCTTCTCATTGCGGTGGCTTCTCTTATTACGGAGCTTGGGCTCTAGGCACGTGGGCTTCAGTAGTTGTGGCATGCGGGCTCAGTAGTTGTGGCTTGTGGGCTCTAGAGCGCAGGCTCTGTAGTTGTGGCACACGGGCTCAGTTGCTCCGCGGCATGTGGGATCCTCCCGGACCAGGGATCGAACCTGTGTCCCCTGAATTGGCAGGCAGATTCTTAACGACTGCGCCACCAGGGAAGTCCCCATAGTTATTTTATAATCAATAAGCTCTGTTTGCAAATGCTAAACCCTAGGGATTAAAATAACAATATCGAGAAGGTTTTTGCAATCTTTCTGATGAGTTTTTGTTCCCCGTTACACAGTATCCTTCAGGTCACAGCTAACAAATATGGAACGCATGACTGCCTCTAAGAAAGGGATCTAGTCGTTGGGTTTCCTTCTAAGTCACTCTCAAGAAACAGCTTCTTAGTCATATACTTAGAAAAAATAGGCTTGGTATGTGTTAGAGTACTTTTCCTTCCTTGATCTGTGTATTATTTTTCTTTTCAAAATTAAAGATACTATTAGAAGGCTCCTGCTTTCTAAAATATATCTATAGGTAAATTAATATTTTTGTATGTACGATATATTTGAGTTGGCAGTTGTAGGTACACATCTACCTGTTTAATCTGAACCAGTCAGAACCAAAGTTTGATATGGTAGTGCCTGTGGGGAGCAGTGGTGGTACATAGGTTTGATTATTAGTACCTTGAGGCCTGGCTGCTACAGAGAAGATTTGTAGTTTCCAAGGAGTTACCAGGATGACATGATGCCATTTTTTCTGAAGGGATTAGAACTTTCCCCATTACATATCTACCAGCCTCTGTCAGAATTCCACTTAGTAATTATCTTTTTCATTCTTCCACGGTCACTCTTGGGGCTTAATTTTCATCTACATGGATAAGAAGAAAAATATGTAAATAAGAAATCTGATAATATTTTTTAGTGAGAGTTTTAGATTAATGTCAGTCATTGCTATTAATAGTGTCATTTTAAATTGCCTTGTAGGGATAAGTCTTGACTGGAGTGAAAAGAGATCAGAATTTGTTCGTGGATATAACCATCCCTGTGGTTGGTTTTGTGTTCCTCTTAAAGACAGTCCAAACCGGAGTCTTTTGACAGGCTATATTCAGACGGATCTGCGTGGAATGATTCCCCAGTCTGCAGTAGATACAGCCATGGCAAGCACTTTAATCAACTTCTATGGTGATTTACAAAAAGCCTTACAAAAGGCATAATATGTTTAAACTTATAGCATTATATTCCCTGAATCAACTCTCTCTCTTAGCTGCATGGCCTGTAAAAATCATCCTTTCCTGTCTTCTGCATAGCCTGTAGAAAATTTTGAGATGTTTTTGGTTTATTTTATTCCTAAAGTAAATAGCTGTCTAGTGTGGGCATTTCAGTTTTCCTAAACAGTTATTTGCACATTGTTTGGTATGGTGATATGTCTAGGAATGGAGAGTATGACAGAAATCCACCAAGAAGTAGATATAGTTCTTTGACACAAACTCTTAAGAAATTGAATAGTGCCTCAGTATGAATATTTTGGCTTCTTAGAAATTAGAGAAAGCCAAGCTTCATGCTGGTAGGTTAAAATCACCTATTTTAGAGCTTTATGAACATTCTGTAAAAGTTTTAATTTTGGGAGGAGTTAAATATTAATGCTTTACTTCTCATATGCTCTATGAGTTTAACAATATCTTGGACTAAAGAAAAAAAGCTCTTCTCTATACCTTATAAAGATGAACTTCATTGTCAGTTGACTTGTACTACTTTCCCTATTGAAAATATCAGAAATAAGAAAAGAATAGGTATCATAGTAAAATGCAATTCAGTTTTGATACCTGGATAGTATTATTTTATAGATATCTTTAAAAATGTATTCATATCTTTATGGGCTTTTATTTTGGGAGTCTTAAAAGCATTTATGAATGAATAAGGCAGTGTGAAAAACTGCCAGATATGTGCTGGGACACCACATTGATTGGACAGTATTCTGGGTTATGTGAAATGGGTGGTGGTATCCAATACTGACCAATAGAGAACCATCTCTCTAGAAAGTCAAATTCAGTGAATGTTTTATACATGTTTGAGTTTTAAATGTGTCACTCAACTCATAAAGTATAACTACGTCATAAGCATTCACAATTGTGATGTAACTTCAGTCTGGAACTAGAACAAATGCATTCATAGATTTATCTAAATGCCTGGATGAGTCATTTTATAACTAGAATGGACTATAATATGTCTCTCGATTCTGTGGCTGCATTAAATGAACATTCCTAAATGATTTTAACATTCCACATGGTCTCTGACTTTTGAACTATCCACCTAGTTTACATCTAAGATGAGAACTTGAGGGAACTCAGTGTCCGTGCAAATTTTTGTCTATATTTATATTTGTGTACATGCACACATCTTGAAATCTGTTCCAGTGTTCAATGTGAGTTATTTATGTGATATTATTACTGTTCCCACTGTTTCATTTTCTCTTCTTTTTTTTTTTTTTTTTTTGGTTAATATGGGGTAAAGAGAGCTCTGGAAATAGTATTTACTAGATAGGCCACCAAAAGCACAAAACTGTATAGTGGTTCAATTGCATGAAGGTGTGATCTGTGTTTTACTTTCCTGTGTTTTCCTGAGTGTAAAGAAAGCATAAGTCATAGTTCTTCAGACCCATTTTGCTAAAGTGGAAAAAGTAGAGCTGACTTATTTTTACTGTTTTGGTATGGAGATGATGTTCAAAAAAAGCAAAAGGTGGCAGCACCATAATATCCATAGTGAATAATCTCACAAATTTTAGATTGAAAATAGTCTGATAGAAGCAATGCACAAACGATCCTATGCTCTTAACTTGAAATTTATTAATCACCAATATGTTTTTCCAAATTGACTATAATTTTTGAGCTGCTGGATTTCTCTGCTACTTTTTTTTTTCTTGCAATAGGGAAAGAGAAATGAGCAGTTTAGCTTTCAGTTTCGCATGGAAATTGTTAAATGTTAATTTTGACTCAATCTATTGTCTTTTATTTGGTTTTATTAGTGTAGAGCAGGAGGTTTCTTACATTCCAGTATTCAGTCTAGCATGACAAAATACCAGCAGATGTCCAATTATAGGGTGCCCAGATTGGGTGAGTTTGCAACAAGATGTACATTATTATAAGGGCTATTATCGCCTGAGCTGGGTGCCACTAATAAACTGTCCACTTTCAGTTACTCTGTGTTCCCTTTGTTTTTTTGTAACTTATACCTCCAACTAGTGATGACATAATCCACTGCTGAATGAGGACCCATTGCAGGTAACAAGACCCTCATGGAAAAATTTTCATTGCAATGTTGAGCCGTATGATGGATTGAAGAATTATATTTGAATTACCTGAAATGTATATGCAGCTTCTAGATGGCACTTTAAATCTGCTGGGCTCTAGCTGTGTACTTAAAAAAAAGAAAAAAAACAGCTTTATTGAGGTATGATTTCCAATGCTGTACAATTTACCAGTTATAAGTATACAATCCGTTGATTTTTGAATACATTTATAGTTGTGCAGCCATCACAACAGCCCAATTTTAGAATAGTTCTATCACCCAAAAGATCCCTTTTGCGTGTTTGCTGAATCATACATAACCAAAGTTTAGCACAGTTGCTAGTATACAGAAGATGATGGAAAAGATTAGAGCACGTTTTGTTTGGTTTTGTTTTCAAGAATAGAGGTGTATTTGATTCTAAGCTCAGGAATCTTGTGATAATGTACTATATATGTTATGTCAAATATCATAATGATATGAAATTTAACAATGTGGATTGGGATTAATATTAACATGTAATAGAGTCTGCTGTTTCTATAGCAGTGCTGTAGAATAGAAAAATAATGTGAGCCATATATGTAATTTAAAATTTTCTAGCAGCCGCATTAAAAAAATTAAAAGAAACAGCTGAAGTTAATTTTAATAGTACAGTACATTTCACTCAGTTTATCCAAAATATTATCATTTCAACATGTAATCACTGTAAAAATCTTTAAGAGAGCTTACATTCTTCTTTTATACTAATTTTTTGATTTCTGGTGTATATTTTACTAATTTGGGCTAGCCACATTTCAAGTTAATTTTAATAACTTTTAATAACACACAGTTCTATATTAATCTGTATATTAATTTGTCTTTCTATAATACGAAGTAGAGAATTTCATAGAATCACTCTCTTAAATACAAAATCTTTTCTGTTCTCTGAAGCCTTCAGTGCTTGCTAAACGTGGACTCCTTAACATTAGAAATAAATCAGTTGTAATTGTCAGTAAAATAAAAATTACAGCCCCAAAAGATTTTCCTTTGAAGATAATTAACTTTTCATAGGGCAGTTGATGAAATGAAAGAATATAATCTGCCGTGTAGTTATGTGGTTGATTATTTTCTCTGGCTTATAGCTAGTTTGTATTAGAAGCACGTGTATGCAGGAAACACTTGGCATGGTACTGTTTTCAGTACATGATACCTATTTTTTTAGGAAATTAGTTTCATACAAGAAAAAAATAATTTATCATAAGTGATACTTCTGCATGACGTATTAGTTTGTATTGATAATCCTTGATTAATCCTTGAAGTTTAACACAATACGCAGCAAAAATAATTATGAGAATTTAGTGTTCTGCAGTTATGTATAATATAAACTGCTAGAGTATTAAAGACAGATTGTTAATGTTAAAAATCTCTTCATTTCACTGTTCATTGAGGCTGGATATATTTGAAACTGTAGATTTCTATATGTAAAATTATCTCCCAATGAAAAAGTCCTTTCTTACTCTCCTCCCTCTTTCTTTCCTAACTGAAGGACATTTTATCAACACTCAAGTTGAATTAAATTAACCTCTTAAGCTAAAAACTCTGTAATGGAGGTTGCCTCTGGAGAAGATAGGAAAACATTGCCCAATTTAAACTCCTAATGTCTATTGAGCTTTTAGGTATGAGTAATTCCCTTTGATGTGGATAAAAGCTTTACCTGTTTATTTAAGAGCACGCTAGCATCCTTAGAATCAGTTGTTAAAATCCAGTTTCTTTTAATTAAGTGGATACTGTAGCTATCCCAAACCTATGCATAAATTAACAGAACCCAGAAAAGCTAGGGGACTTGACCAGGTGTCCATTAGACCCTGTGCTGTATAATTACTTGTCCAGTCTATCTCCCATGCCTTTCTTATTCAAATTCCAGAAGTAGGGGATGGTGGGATCTGAGCTTAGGAGAAACATTAGATTAATCCCAGAGCACAGGAAATTGGAATTATAATTTCTGTATTATTTTGTTGTTTCCAAAGATTTACATGTATGGTTAAATAAAAATTCATCTCTTGCAATTCAATAAGAGCTATACTATATAGAGATTTTATTTTTAAGAAGTTTATATTTCTTTTATGGGCCAATGTGTAAAGCTGGAACCTTCATTAAACTAATGAGAGCATGCATTAATATAATAAAATGTGTATTTATTTAAAAATTTCTATGAAATATATCAGAATAAAATTTCTAGACGCTTGTGTATTGACCATTTATACTAAGTTGCTTTAACCTTATCTGAATTTAAAGTATGTAGTTTAGCTTCCTGAACTCTTACAAAAGAAAAATATAAACTGGAAAATTAAGATTAACAATGCATATGCTAATCCCCTGCCGATGTCTCATATAATATTAGCCACAATACTGCTGAATTTTGATTTGCTGTTATATAGCAAGGATGATGACATATTCTGCTCTTACCACTGTAACGTATAGGTAAGGTTTATTGTATACATTTTTAAATAATTGTACTAACTTGATTAGCAACTGTAGTGACGATTTCCTTTGGAGTTGAAAAAAGGTGGAAGTGATTACAAAGGAACTGTTGATCTATATTATAAGGAAGCAGTTATGGATGCTGTGGGAAATATGCAGTAGAAAATATGACTATTAAGTGGTTTAAACAAATATAGAGTAGGGAATTCCCTGGCGGTCCAGTGGTTAGGACTGATTGAACCTGCTGAGGGTTCAATCCCTGGTCGGGGCACTAAGATCCCATAAGCTGTGCGGTGTGGCCAAACAAACAAACAAACAAAAAACCAAAACCATAAAAACACACAAAAAACAAACCAAATAGGGAGTTATTTTCCTCATTTAATAAAAAATCTGGATGTCGGTAATTATTAGTATTAGCACGTCAGGGCCAGTGTTTCTTCAGTTCTCATCTTTCCCTCAGATATGATAAGGTGACCAGCTAGCCCTGGAAATTACATGTGCATTCAAGTAAAGAAGAAGCAGGGGAAGGCATGGCACTACTCATCCGTCTCTTTTACCAGGAAAGTAAAAGCTTTTCCAGAGCCTCCAATAGCTTTTCTTTCTAGTAGTCTGGGTCACGTGACTACCACTAGCTGGGAAGGCAAGTATTTCCAGCCTCTTGGAGAAAGGGTTGGTAATGACTCTGGCTAGCCAATCATAGCATCTCTCAGTGGGTCACCTCTGGAAAGTGTGTATAGAGCTCCTTTAAATGTCAACAGGAAAATGATAGACTCACAAAACAGAAATGAAAATAGCAAAGTAGTCCTTCACTCCTCCATGAAACATTGATTGGGCCGCTTCTGTATGGCAGATTCTACATAGCTGTCCGTCATTGAGGTAATGAGGTGATGGAGCTCCTCGGAAGGTTGTTAATTAATGGTTGGTGTCACATGGCATCCGATGTGAATGACTTATGTCTATAGTACACCATTTCTACTCCTCTGGAGCAAAGGGTCCACTATGGATGAAGACTTCTAGACCAGGAGATGACAGAAAATTGCTGGAAAACATGAAATGCAAATGTATCCCAGGAGATAGAGGGTGGATCCATGTTACTTGTGTTAGCTGTACAGGTGATTAGTGGGGTGTAGTATTCTGCTAATAAAAATTATGGGGGAAGCATAGTGTACAAATACCAAAACTGGCTTTTTACTCATTATTTGGATGGTACTGTTCTTTTTCAGGAGCTTTACCTTCCTTCTTAGGTTTTGCTTTAGTGACATTCCTCAAGTACAAGCAGCTGGCTTTTTATTAAAAGAAGTATTCCAGAGACTGTGCAAAACCAGGTTGAAATAAAAAGATGTTTCATATAGTCAAAAATGGACTTGTAGATGGGAGAGGTTTTTGTTTTCCTCTAGCATTTCCCTCAATTCAGAAGTCATTGTTTAGGTGAGGATTTTGGACCTAGTAGTAGTTAGTAGCCAGCTGCAATTCTGAGAGTGAACCTCACTGACATATTATGCCTTCCCCCCAATATTTCACACAAATGTTTGCTAATTGGGTGGCCAAGCTCAAGAAAGACTTTTAGTTCTTTTTACAACTATTGTTGCTAACAATCAGCTTCTTAGGAGGGAACATAAAGGTTTTTCCCTTTCATTCTCAGGTCCTGAAGGTTTGAAAGCATCATAATGAAGGGACCACTGAATATCATTTGGCCCGACAATTCCACATTAGGATTATTTCCTTAGGATAGATTTCCCCAAACTCAGAAAAAAGCTTTATGTAGTGTTAACTGAGAAAAGAAAAAGAATTGAGAATGGATTATTATGCAGCTATCAAAATTGTTTCTGAAGATTATACAAAAAATGCCTGCTTTAGTGGTAGGTTGACATAAAAAAGTTACAATATGATTAAAGTCTGTAAGAAAAAAATAAACTAGTGCAAGATTTTAAAAAAGACAGTGCTTGTCTTTGGAAGGCGTTCTTATGGTAATCTACTTTTCTGTATTTTCATATTTTTATAATGAAAATAAATTTTTATATGAATCGCTGGATTGACTTTGTATCCAGTGAATTGACTTCTCAGTCGTGAGAGCACTGGACTAGGAGATGGGCAACCCAGATCTCTTCTCAGCCACTAACTGCGATCTTAGATAAGTCATTACCTCTCTGGGTGTTACTTCTCTTTAATAAGATGAGCTTGTTGGGTTAAATGATTACTAAGATCCCCTTTTAACTTTATGATTTTATGACATCACTGTATAATATTAAAAATGCTGTGAAACCCAAAGTGTAATGTTGCCTGAGAGAATGGAAAAACAATCAAGAAATGCTTCGACTTCATATTTCAGATATAAGGAAAATGTCCATTGTGTCACTCTTGAATTGTGCTAACATTTCAAATCACGGAATGCAAAGTATTGGTGGGCTCTTAGATGATTTATTATCATATCATACATGCAGATTGCTTTACAAGTTTCCCAGCAGTAAGGTGTATGCTTCTTTTGGCATGCTCTGACAAATCTGAATGAACTTACACAAAGCAACATTGGCCCTCACTAAGGTCAATTTCAGCAGTCTCCCAACATCCATTTTGCCTCATGTCACATATTCTTCCGTTATGTTCCTGGGAAACACCAAAAAATGAGCATGTTTACTCATTTACTTGGGCTGTCTAACCTGAGTCCAAGAAGAAGCCAGTTGTCTGTGGCTGTCATGTTGTCTGCCCCAGGCTTTGGGCAGCTGAGAGCCAGTGACTCTGATGTGTCCCATATGCTGGAAGCAGTGCCATCGAACAAAACGGTAGCTCAGTCAAAAGCAAACGGGCATGATTTTGATGAATTCTCTGTAAACATTCTCTATATTTACATTTATGGCCAGGTCAGACTTACATGTTTACCTAAAAAATATTGTAATATATCTTTGTATTAAGGAGTCAATAGCACCATTTCGACAGGTTTTAAAAATGAAATGTTCACAGCTCCTTTTCCAGTACTTTTCAATCAGAAATTGGGAAGGCAGCCTATGATCTTGGCGGTGTAAACTGCAGTATTTACACTTTGTCTTTGCCCTCCAGATCCTACATGCAGTTGTTTTTGGCTAATGATTTGCAGTCTAAACTACTGGAGATGTAGGTTTCCTGTATAGAGTGGTATTCCATTATCTAATCCTCCAAGCTGCCGTTGAGCTGCTTATGTCCTTTTAGTCCAGAAAACTTTCGACAACGCAGCAGTACAGATTTCTCCTCTAGGAAAAACTAGAAAAGACATACCAGATACTGTCACCTAAGTCTGAAAACCCTAGTAAGTAGTATTCCTTTCTCAACGCCTGCCAAGTTGTGTTTTCTGTACCCCTACAGTATCTCCACGTCTTAACTCCTCTTCCATCACTCAGATGATGGTCAACCGTTGTCCCTTTCTTCGTTTCATTTGCCCGAATAATATAGCAAGTTACTAATCACAGACATTATCTGAAACAAGCAAAGTGGCAAGACAACTAGAAGTATATATACTGTAATGATTATGTTTTTAAAAGTTTCTTGAAGATGGATGTAAAATACTGCCTGCAATGAGTGATATAAAAAGGAAATTATAGAAAGGTGTATAAAGGGGCAAAAGGGAGAGATGGAGACGAAAGGACTTCACAGGATCGGCTTGAAGTTTGGGGAAGGCAGCTCCGAAGATTTTAAATTTCATTGTCTGAGGCTTAACACAGGTTGTCTTTTGAAGTCTAAACTTTCAGGTATAATTCTATCTTAGATCCTGCGGGAACTGCCCTTTCAGGTCAGATAATTTAAAAGGTTAAAATAACTGTGAAAGAAGTAACCTTGACGTGGCCTCCATTGGCAAAGCTTTAGCAAGTAGTTAGGTGATTTTCTAGTCACCGGGAGTTATTCGGATACTGGAGTTTTGCCAAAGTTACTCAAATAATCACTATCTTCTTTTACTCTGCTTTGTCAGTGGAGATCTCGCCAGTGCAGTTTTTGCTTTTAGTGACTGAAGCTTTATTTCAACTGGTGACTTGCAAAAATGTCTTTGATGTGTTGGGTGATTTTTATTCTGTTGGGGGACACACCAGATTAGCCACGTATGTAGGAGATCACAGAGGGCTACATGCTCTGAGGAAATGCTGCACAAATGTCTACCCAGAGTAAGAAAGGGGTGAAGAAGTCTAATTCAACTTTGCACAAGATCTGATACTCTTATGCAGACTTAGCAACACTTCCCTGCAGATTTCAGTCTTTCACACCCAGCATTGTTCCTTCAACACATTCCTCCACTCTGCAGATTTCTCAGCCAAATGTTCTGCCTTCCTCCTCCCTACCTGCAAAGGTTCTCCCCATCCTTTATATTTAGCTAATATTCCCAGGAAGCTCCCCTTGATCATTCCAAGCAAAGGGGAACTTTTCCTGCTTTCCATCCCTGGAGGGCTTACTGCCTGCCAAGATTTAGCACAGGCTATATGTACACTTGTTTTTTCTCTCCAACGACAAAGCTCAATCCTAGAGGGTAGCATGGGTTTAATTCAACTCTGACTCTTTCATTGTACGTAATTGTTTTTCAATGAAAGTTTACTGAGAAAATGGGTCCCTGGCGTGCGCTGCTCCTAGAAAGCTTCAGAATCACCAAATCATCTCCTTAAAGTGTGCTTGCGATGTAGGCCTAATATTCCCTAAACTACACTGTTTAGTTTTTTATTCTGGGAGGAAAATTAGCTACTGGCTTTGGTTTACTCATTTCTAAGGGAAGCTGGTGACCCAGATATTGAGAGAATTTTAAAATGATAAGTTTAGTCCGTTAACAACTGCTTTCAAACTCTGAGCAATCAAGAAAAATGGGTAGGTGGGAATGTGGAATCCTCATCTACATTTTACCTTTTCCCTCTTCCATTCCGGTAAAGTCTCCCTCCTACTCACATCAACCATGAGGAGCAGGCAGACGATTCATCTCTTTTTTTCCTGAGTTCTATAGTGTATCCAGTGGCTACATCATATTGATTGCTGCAACAGTTTAAAGAAAACAATATATTATTTAATTAGAGTCATGATATAATTTTAGCTTTTCCTAATAATAAGCTGATAATAGGTTTTCTACTCAATATCTCACTTGTAACCTTTTGGCTATAGATGTTCAAAGTCAAACACAAAGGTCATGCATGCCTACATTCTCAATATCTGGGCCACCTGCTTCCCTTAAGGCAAATATTGTGGAATGAATAACTTCTCTGTGACAGAAATAGACTAAGAAAAGGGCCCCTCTTGGATTTCTAAATATGTAAGAAAAGGAAAGGAAAGCATTTGCTCGAGGCCTTCTCTTTCCGAAGAAGTGAAATATATAACACTCAGAAAAACACAGGGATTGGAAAGTAGCTTTCTTACATTAAAAAGTTGGCTATTTGCCTATTTCCTGAGCTATTGATAAGCAAGTTATTGTCATAGAATGCCACATAATAAAGCATGTTATTTCCTAAAAATGATTAAATGAAAATCCAATTGGTATTAATTACTTGAAAATATTCTAAAGGATTCAGAACCAAAGGGGGCTCTCATTTCTTGGCTAAGTAACAGCTGCAGATTGACTTAAATGGGGGGAATACAAAATGTCATTTACATGATTTTAAATAAAAGGATCAAATTTCTAAAACGTGCTTGATGTGCTAGAAATCTTTCTAATTCCTCTCTCTGAAACAAGTCAATTCGTACTCTAAACTTTTCTTTTCAGGAATGATGCAATTTTGAATTTTTAGTTCTGTAGGGAAATTTTACTGTTAAGTTGTACTTCCAGCAAAATTATTGTTGAGACCATCTGCACAGAAACAAACCTCTCCTAACTTCCTAAGAAGCAAATGGGATAAGAACCCTAAGCTAAGGAGAAGAAATCTGGAGTATGGGAATCTGTATTCCTAGACGTTACCAAAGAGGCAGGGTGCCATGAAAAACCAGGGTCATCAATTATTTTCTGTAAAAGGCCAGATAAACATTTTAGGCTTTTCTGGGCCATACAGTCTCTGTTGAAACTACTCCACTCTGTCCTAGTAGCATGAAAGCAGCCATAGCCAATGTATAAATAAATGAGCATGGTCGTGTTCTGATAAAACTTTATAAAACAGCGCTCTGATGGATTTGGTCCGTGACCCATAGTTTGCCTGACTCTTGAAAACTGATCTTTGGAGATTTAACTTTATTTCCTTGGGTAGTTATGTGGAAATTACTTTTTAAAAATGCACTTGTAAATTTTATGTGTCTATCACAAAGACCATAGATAAAAGAATGATTGTCATTCAAATAAGAAAGAGTATAAACGTTAGCCCCTAACTTGTTTACTAATAATCCCTTTTGTCTGTCACCTGTCTGCTGTTCCCACTCAGTAAACTCAGAGGACATTTTAACATGTCAAGGGAAACACACAGCAACATCAGTCAGACGTGGAATGCACTACTACTATTATGTTGTTTGGACCTAACTACTTAAAAAATGGGCATGTTAGGTAATTCTTTTGGCTTGGTAGGTGGGGGTCATGAAAATATTACTGAAATTAAGGGTGCATGAATATAAACATTTTGGGAACTTCTGAAATAATAATCTTGACAATAAAACTCATACTCATGAATATGCTATTTGTATGCTACTGTATATTAGCTACATGATAGGCTATAAAAATAGGTCAAGTTAAAAGGAGGCAGTTATGAGATGACAGTTGTCACTTTATAGTCATTCTTACTTGTATCCTTTACAAACCAGATTAACTACCATACATGTATCAAGGAAAGGACAAACTTAGTAAATTTTTATCATCCACAACTGATTGTCAGAGTGAGAGAGTGCTTAGGGAAAACAACAGCTTTCAAAAATTCTAATATGAAGCCTATTATATTTGAGTAGCCCAAAATAATCTTTTAAATGGAAAATAAATATATAATCTGACTGAAGATTAACTGTCTGTCATTTTTAACACACTGAATCACAGAAAAGGCTACACAGATATAAATATTCCACATCCATGGGTATTCCAGGCCAGGCCAGTTTTCAAAATGTGCTGAAAGCAACTAGTTAAGAAGAACAGTATGATTTTGCTGTCTTAGCATTGCTGTTTAGAGTTTCAGACTAAATTCTGGGCCACCGAAGACTCCATATTTCTTTGACCAGTCTGGGATACTCTTTCCAGGATTTTAGAGGACTTCAAAATTCGAGAGGGCAGCTTGATGGCCATAGGGATGGAAGAAAACATTGATCTGGGATAAGTGGTAGCAAACCAAGTCATGGGAAGAGCAAATGATTGGTGAAATCTCATTTTCCATTACTGACTAATGGCACTGTACCAATATTCAAACAGTATCACTGGAAGAGGTGTTTCCCATTTGGCTCATTTGAGCTCAACCAAGACAGATGCCTTGAATCTTCACTAGAGCAATGTCTGATTCCTGTCAAGGACTCACATGGTCCACTCTCATGGCAAGGCTTCCTCCTTGTCCTAGGTAGACCTCTGGGCCAGGTGACAGAGAAAAGACTGAATCTTGAAGGAAGTTAAAATCACACAATCAAAGCCTCTAGAGTACACCACAGAGAGTGTGTGAAAATTAGAATTTTAAACAAGCAAACATAAATTAGTCAAGTTTGTTATTGCTCTCCAAGAAAAGTATATAAATGGTTGGGCTATGTGAGCTGAGACTATATTATCCGATCTCAGGTGATATTTGAAAGTAATGATGACAAAAACTGGCCCTTAACAGATCAGGATATAGAAAGAAGAAATGCTGAGCTTGGTTACTATGGGTGGATAGCTGATCTCTCTCCAGTGATCTTTTAGGTTCTTTTTCTATTTGTCAAGGAGCCAGAAACTCACCCTGAGTTGTGCCAGGGGAAGAAAAGAACTTTGAAAAAGTTTTATAGAAAATTATTGGTTACATTTCTGCTTAACATATGGTTATGAATATTATACCAATATTGAGATTATATGTGCATAAATGTTAAAAAAAAAAACAGTGAAGACACACATAGAGTCTAACCAGTAAGCAGTATTTAACCAGTAAATGCTCAAATGTTAGCAACGACCTTGATCAGAGACATATCAGTGCTGAACATTAAGGAAATTTAAATAAGACCTAATAGGCAGTAATTACAAGGATATTACAAATCCTATTATATAAGTAGATGTCGGAAAAGTTTGCACCAGCTAAAGTAGACCTAGATAACCAGACTGAATACTCTGCAATGACAAGTAAATTACATAATGGCACTGTAATTATGTAATTGACTCTTCTCAGTATATTTGTGTCAATTTATGTGGAGTCAGCCTCATCAAGAAAAACCTAGTGCTGATTCACTTTTTTGACTTGTTTTTGCATTTGCTTTGCAAAGACAATCCTAAAACAGAATAAATGATTTACTGATTTTATCCTTTGCCTTTTTTGGCATTTACTTCTTTTATTTTCCGATTTGAAATGCAACTAGATGCTTCTGTGAAACAACTGAATTATGAAACAAAATGGCTTTCTCTAAATTTTCAGTCTATAGGCAATCTTCAAGCAGTTACCTTTCATGTGAAACTGGAAACAGGGATTGCTAAACATTCTAAATTACAAAATATGTTTAAAATACTATGTAATTGAGGTCACAGTAAAAGGCAAACTGTTCTTTTCTTTTAAAGTCTGCCACTAAAAATGGCTATAGTACCTTGAGGATTATTCTAAAATAGCAATATGTAAGAAAATTCCAAAAAGTCTTTTGAATCCATGTGTAATGGCAGAGTTGATTAAACTCTTCTAAGGAAATATAAAAAATGCCAGCGGATGGTCATATTCTCATTTTAGGGATAACTGGGGTGATATCATCCTCATCATACAGTCTTTATCATGCAAATTTGGTATATTTCAGAAGATTTCTATAAAAATTATTGCCTGCAATACAAGGATGGTGTCCAGCCTTGTTGGTGGCCAGGCCTACGAAATCCCACTAAGATTCTGTGTGCAGCCCTTCCTGAATGAGGACACATGGTTCGCCCACAGAAGATTTTGGTATGTGAGAACACGATTGACTTCATGGCAGTACTCAGGAGACGCTAGCCTGTAGTCAAGATTCCAGGGCCCAAGAGAGGAACTATAGCCAACGGACAACTTGCCAATGCCCAGGAAAGTTCTCTAACAGTCATGCTGGGAAACACTTCTCCTCTGAAGCACATGAATAGGTAGACGTGGCCAACAGAGTTTTTACTCATTTCAGTCTATGACATTTCTGAAACATTTTCTTTTTGGCCTCCTACCAACTCATCAGTGTGGAAAACTGAGGCAGCTCAAATCTAAGCATAGAAATTTGTCTGTCATTTTGCTTTGAAAGTGCTCTAGACCAGCGCTCTTCTAGTACCACTGTAGCCACTAGTCACATGTGGCTGTTGAGCACTTGATGTACTAAAGGTGTAACATAATCCTTCTTTTGAAAACTTAGTACAAAAATAAAAAATTTAAAAGGTCTTGTTAATTTTTCATATTGATTATGTATTGGAATAATAGTATGGATATATTGGATTAAAATATAGTTAATTTTACCAGCTTTTTTTTTCTTTTTAAAATGTGGCTAGGAGAAAATTTAAAATTACATATGTGGTTTGTATCATCTATATTAGGCAGCACTTGGTCTAGACAATAACTTCTACAACCATATTATTCTAATTTCTACCTTATTTATGTGTTCATGGGACAAATGAGCTCTTACGGTTTGAGAAAAACCACTGGGATTCCAATTAGACTTTTTAAATGGGAGAAATAATTCAAGATTGTCCTTCTCTATGGCAAAATAGTCTCATTTATGCTATGTATCTGAACTTATCTGAGAACAAAAATCAATAATGTAATAACTGTCATCTCTAAAATGCAAAATGTATTGTTTGCTGAAATTCCTTTAATTATTTGCTTTGTGACTATAGTGTCAATTAAAGGAAACATTATGAAATAGTTCATCAAATTAAGGTTCTATCTGCATTAGTCTATTATTATAAATAAGTAATCTTTGAGATAGATAATATATCCATTTTAACAAGCAATATAAATGTTTACTGTTTTTTCAAAAATGTTAATTTAACTATCCTAACTTAAATAGCATCTCTGTGAAATCCTAGGTTGAATCATTTGGCTGAAATGCCCGATTTTTGTGAAGCTTTGACTTGTTTTCCACTGAAATGACTAACTCAGTCACTTAGGCATTATCAGGACTTAATCTTTAACATACAAGTCAAAATTTACAACTCCTGCTGATTTTTAGAGAGTGCAATTTACGGGTTAAAAAAGAGGAAATTACGCTCACACCCTCACAGGGAATAGGCATGTGTACTCATTTAAATGGGTAAATTCTTAAGTACACACTGGCCTTGGCATTTGCAGTGCTCTTCACACTACACAGTCCGCAGGTCCAACCACTGCAGTCAGCCCTGAATGTTGGGATGATATAACCACTGCCCTTGGAACAATATGGAAGTGGGCTGGGAGGGACAATGTGTTCTCATGTTCCTATTAGTATTGCCACTTTCCATTAAGATTCCTTTCCCTCTCTTCTTCCCTTTTCCAATATATGGGACAGTTACCATATATGCCTCACAATATACACCTGTTAAGTCTCTTTGGAAAAGTATACCAGGCAATTGGTATTTTAAAATAGAAATCTTAATGCTTAGGGAAGAAGGCATTCTTAAAGTTTGAAACTAGTGAGCCCCTTATAATAGCTAAAATGGAAATTCTGAGAGAATAAAGAAGGAGGGAAACAGAAGAGAAGATAAGTACTCTCTACTAATTAATAAAGATAAAATGAAACAAAAAATCTTTCTCTGTGTCCAGATGATGTGCCCTTAAGGGCTTTTTCCTCCACCTCAGTGATCTGTCAGGCTCCTATATTATGGAAGACAAGAAGTTCTACCTTATTTTCTTCTCATGAGAACAGTGGTAAAGGAAGATCTGCACTTGGAAAGCAGAATGTCTCCTAGGTCGAATAGTCCCCAGAAACCAGAGGTTTAATTTAATTTTCTAATTTAATATTTCTGAGGAAGAGCCCAAAAAATTTAAGATCTCTATTTTTGAGGAGGATTTTTATGTGATAGTCATTTTTATCCATAATTTTGGCCTGAAAATAATCCTTTTTTAAAATTAAGGAAACCTACTAAAATATGCTGCATAATTAATTTGATAAAAATGTTCATTTAAGCTCAAGCTAGAAATAAATCTGAGGTATTTGGAATTTAACTGTGATTTTTACAAGGGAAAAGTGTTTATATGAAAACCAAAGAAAAATGTTTTGAAAAAAATCATGGTAATGTATTAGGTCTAATGTTACAGCTTCTCAAGAGTCTGATTTGAAATCAGTGTTTTTTTCATTGTTTGTTTTTGTTTACTAAAGTAAATTAAAAGCTGCATTGTCCTACATTTCTGGACATGGAAACTTTCAAAAATACATTGTAAATTATGGGTGCTTCCATTCCAAGTATGAGAAAAAGATATACTAGCTTTTCAGAAATATCTTTAGTCCATAAGCCGTATATCTAAATAACCATCAGTTGAAGGAAAAAAAGGACTTTTATAAAAACAAAGGTTTCCTTACTATACTAAAGTCAATAATGGATGATCTTACAATGGGATATTATTCCCACTCTATTCAGACATTTTGGCACCAGCCTTTGGTGTAGACTTTTCTAAATATCTGAACCTTGGTTAAGTATAGAGTTTATCCATAAAAGTGTTCCTATCTTTAAAATTGTACAAGCTTGTGAATAAATTCAATTTTATCTGAAAACTGACAAGGAGTCAGTCTTTATTAGTCTAAGTCCCAGTCTTATCTCCTTTTCTTCACTAAATTTCTTTATTCCACCCCTAAGTGTTGTCCATCAGAAGGACTTCTTGTTAGAGAGCAGGTGAAGGAAAGAATAAATTCCTCAGCGTGAGTCTGTGAAATAATTTTTTTAGGACCGTAAAATGGCAGGAATTTGTAATAGAATGTTTTTGGTTATTAGTAATATGGTGTGTATAAATAAAGACAAGATAAAAAAACATTCTGCACACAAGCTTTAGGGGCATATGGTTTCATAGCCCTTAAAGCATGCTTCAGTTTCTTACCATTATAAGTGGATTTTTTTTTTTTTTGCACATACCATACAACTATAACCTAACCATCTTCTTGTAAACAGTTTGAACACATTACTGAAAAGACTGTGAATGTCATGGGAATACATCTTATAGCTCTACCTAGTATTAGCTGGGCAACAGTCCTTGTAAAGAAATCCAAAGGGTGTAGGCTGGCTAGGTTTTCAAAGCAAAACCAATTTGTTACTATTTACTTCAAATGTGTGCTACTGGTCCCTGAAAATGTATGTTTTTAAATGTTATGTTGTGTTTACTTGCAATTTCAAATTTAATTCATCAGTAGGTATTTGGTATCCATTACATACCATAGAAGACACTATTTTTTCATAAAGCAGTCACATGCATTGAAGTTAGGATTACCAACTGATATATATGTATTTTTTTGCACCTTAAAAACAGAATCACTATAGTGCATATCATGCTTCCCCACCTTCCTTGCTGAAGGACAAAATGCATAAAGTGCCAGGATTTGGCTCCCAGATGGAAGGAAGCCATTTAGTACTCTGGCAGGATCACATCATTCTGCTGAGCTCCAAATTCCAGAGCAGGGTTTTCTTGCCCTTCTTTGGGGGCTGCTGCTTCCTCAACAGTCTTCAGCTTTTCCTCCACTAGGCCCTCCTCTATTTCTGGGTCAGCCTCCTTTATCCCATCCTCTAATGCCTCGGGCACTATCTTGGTGGCCTCAGCAGCATTTATTTCAGCATCTTTAACTTTCTCTATGGCCTGCACCTTCATCAGCTCAGCCTCTGCCCCCTCAACTGCCACTTGGGCCCCATCTCCTTGAATTTTCACTCCTTCCGGAATAGCTTTGACATCTTCATTGCCATCTTGTGTTGGAGATGGCTCTCGGCTGGCCTTCTGGCTCTCCTGGATGCTGCCATGGCTGCTGCTGGCGCTTCCCAACCGGGAAGAGGCCACCACGGCCTTTACTGCTGCCTGATTGGAAACAGAAAAGTGTCAGGTGTTACTTTCACTTAAAATCCCAAATCAGAGCTCAATTTCAATTTTGCGTTTAGGGAGTTTGTTATTATATGTTAGTGTTTAATCTTTGAAAGTATATTATTCCAAGATTGTCTAATGAAAACTTGTTTGGAGAATGAACAGCAAAATATGTTTAATCTCAAATTAGCGTATTTAATCATCTGGACAACCAAAAACCTGAGTAAATGCATTTTCCCATGGATTACCAATATTCAAAAATTTTAGATTGTGTTTCCCAAAGTATTTGTTTCATGGGACACTAGTTCCATGGATGTTTTAGGCACTATCTAGATAAAAGAGTTCCACAGTCAACTTTGTTTGAGAAATCCTGGGTTAAGTCAAGGTTGTTTAATGTAGTATATTTCAAATTAATATGACCATGGAACCCTTCAGGTTTATTTAGTCTGTATTAGCCTGTAAGCGATTGCTGAATAGAACACTGTTTTTGACCCCCAGCTGTTCTCTGAGATCCCCTGTATGTATAGCTAGTCCTAAATACCATTAAGTAAGAGAAAAGCACCTAATTTCTATTCCATATACATTCTATAAAAAGAGATATGTTTTGGTAGATAATTTTCCCTATCACTTGAATTATTTTAATTTTTACCAAGTATAACTATTTGCTTATGTACTAAAACATAGTTTTAAAAATTTTTTTCCCAATCTTTCCATATTCAGAAAGTAGACAACTTTCTGAGTAAATGTTTCCTGAACAATGCTGTTCAAGCAGTTCAGCCTTAATTAAATGAGAAGCAATGATAATGGATTTGTTTGGTGAGTAAAGCTCAACATACAACACATTTCCCTTTATTAACAATGAATTCTGGGAATTCCCTGGCAGTCCAGTGGTTAAGACTCAGCGCTTTCACTAAGATCCCACAAGCTGAGTGGCACGGTGCCCCCCACTCCAAAACAACCCAAAAAACAAAATAACCCACAATGAATTCTTATGAGAGGATAACAGAACTACAATTGGCTTTATACCAGCACTGTTGGGATTTCAAAGCAGGATTTTTCCTGGTACCACAGGAGATGAATAATAGTATTAGATAAATAATAGTGGAATTATCTTTGATCATCAAGATATGAGAGAAATCTTTTTTTTTTTTAAATAAAACAAATAAATGCCATCTAACCTTGAGCTTGCGCCGGGCATTGAATTCTTGGAGCTTCTTTTGAGCTGTATCCATGTGTACAAAATTGGCTGCTTTACCTGTGACCCACGGGTGCTGGAGGGCTTGGAAGGTAGTCAGCCTTTTCTTAGGATCCAACACAATTAATTTTCTGACCTGAAATGATAAAGAGCCATAGTCTTCTTAGGGAGATTTTTACGGTGACCTGGGCTTGCCCCTCAGCTCGTGAACTTCTAGGTCTTATTTAATTTCCTTGGCAGTACACTAAATATACATTAAACAATTTTTTTAAGTCCCCAGAGGTTACTGTAGAGACGGCTTCAGGTGGCAGTAGCTGAGGAATCTGAGAGTGGTGTGCATAGGCTACCTGAGAGCCCAAACTGGTGGACAGCTTGCCCACGGAGGTCAAAGAAACAAGTCCTGCCTTGCCTGTAGACTGGAAGTTCTTTGTTTTTGTTACGCGGGCCTCTCACTGTTGTGGCCTCTCCCGTTGCGGAGCACAGGCTCCGGACGCGCAGGCTCAGCGGCCATGGCTCACGGGCCCAGCCGCTCCGCGGCATGTGGGATCTTCCCGGACCGGGGCACGAACCCGTGTCCCCTGCATCGGCAGGCGGACTCTCAACCACTGCGCCACCAGGGAAGCCCTAGACTGGAAGTTCTTTGAATGAGAACCAGCATCTGAATAATTCTCGGCCGTACTTCACATCACTTAGAATTCAGAGCTTAAAATACACATCAATGGAGACGGGCATCGTTCATGCATCCATCATTCTTTCTATGGGAATTGAATGGCAAACAATAGGGGCAGTATCATAGCCCTTATGATTATACCATGAGTCTATCATGAAGTTAATAGCTCTCTAATCCCTTGAGGGTACTTGAAGGAATAAGCCAAGAGCTGGGGTAAAAGCCTATTTAGAATCAAAGTAAAGGTGTCAGTAGCTTGTGGGTATGATTTGTTTACAGGACTGAATTCAAACCAATGGTAGCCTGTTCTGGGAGGTTTACCCCTGCTTGTGAGGATGAGCAGACAATAAATTGCCAGGAAGATCAACAACCAAAATAATCCCCAGCCCTAGGCTCAGAAGGGGTGACCTGGAATGAGGCAGAGACTATTTGGAGTCAGGAAGCATGTTCAAGTCCTAACTACTTTTGTGACCTTAGACAAAGACCACATGTGAATTGGGTGACTATGGACACCCTCCTGGGCCCTTTCTTACATGACCTCATTTCCACCCTAATTCCTTTGTATCAATAAATACATTCTTATAGACATATAACATTTAAAAAAAAACCCCAAAACTCATGTAACCCTGTCCATAACCTTATCAATTAGTAACTATTAGCTCCAATTCATAAATGAGGGATGGAAGGAAGCTCAGAAAGATTTAGTGACTTGTGTAAGGTCAGACAACTCATAACTGGTGGCGGCTATACTCAAACTTGGGTCTTAGAGTTTGTCTCATGGCCACTACACCATAGTGCCTCCAAGGTTGTCAGCCTCTCTGGGTTTCAGTCTGCCAATATGTAAAATGAGGGGCTTTGGATGATTTAAGGCATAAAGTCTTTTCTAACTCTAATAACCTAAGAACTGAACACAGGCTAACAAAATCAGGCAGCTAGTCACATGAAGAATGAATATCCGGTTCTCCTTTCACTTCCTTTTTGTAGCATTTGCAAAGAAATGTGTGTGGGGGGTAGACACTGAATTTGTAAAGGGCAGAGACGTGAGACTGCTTAGTCTTAAAATCAGAGAGGGGGTGGAGGGAGATAAAGATAATTAAGAAAAAGAATGCACAGTAGTAATACGAATTTGATAGTAGTCAGAGCTATCATCTGTTGAACATATATACTAATAATTTTATGTCAATGATACCTAATCCTTACACCATCCCTGACAGATATTTCCCTCTCATTTTCTAATCATCCGTTTCCTCTTATCATTACCATCCTCCTCCTCATGAAAATACAAAGAATTTACTGAAAGCCAGTATGTACCAAAATTTTATATATGTCATCATTAATCTTTACATTTGAAGATACTGATGCACTGAATTATTAAGAAACTTGCTGAAGATTAGAGAGATCCAGTGACCTTGTCAGGATTCTAACCCAAAGCCTTGCCATTATCCTACGGTTCCTCTTAATAGCCCAACTCCCCACTCATTGGCACCATAGCCTCTGCTCATGACAGAACAGATGCAGGTTTTGCTAATAAGTACACATTATGAGGCTCAATGATTGCTTTAGTTCTCAAGTTTTATAAATTTATTAACCAACAGGAGGTCTAGCTGAATGAAGGAACATCACAGTTAACCCTCTTATCCATTTAATTTTTATGAGGGATAAAAAGAAATGGAAGGAAGACTAAATAATGGGGTTATTATTGAGTTAGTTGGTGGTGATTACTTAGTATGTATTATATCCCTTAATTCTTCTAAAGACCTAGAGATAGGTACTGGTATCATCTCAGAGAAGAAAACTAAAGCACAGAGAGGTTAGGCTAGCCCAAGGTCATATCTGTAAATTATAAAAAGGGGGGTCACTTGAATCCAGGCATGTCAGACTTTAAGAATCCTTGGTCTGTTTCCTGATTCATGGTTTCATTCAACAAATATTTATTGAGCCTGTACTTTATGTCCATATGGTACTAAGATCTGGGCACACATGCTTCACCCTCTCCCAGAGCTTACAATCTAATTAAGGAACACCTTTGAGCAAGTATATAGAAATGATGACCATCATGAAAAAGGAAGTCTAGGGGGCAGAGGAACAAGTGGCAGAAGGAATGAACCAACTGTGAGAAGAATGGCCTGCTGAAGACGAAATCTCCCAGAGAATGCCAAATGGCAGCCAGGGCTTGAAGATTAGGGTTACCCATGTAAAGAGGCGTGTATGTGTACGTAATGGTGGAGAGGAAGGAGGAAAGAACATCACAAAGAAGAAGAAAGAGCAACATACCCAGAGCTACATTGATGAGGGACTGGAAGTCTAGTGCTCTGGAGGAAAGAGAGATCAAGGGAGAGTGATGTGAAGTAAGTGGCACAAGAGAGGGTGACACTTATTTATAAAACCATTCCTCTGGATCCTGTGTGGAGAGTGTACTTGAGAAGAGCACAAGAAGAGGCAAGGAGACCAGATAGGAGGCTGTGGCCGTGAACCAGGAGAGGATGGGGCTTGGACTAGGCAGTTGTAGTGGAGGTGGAGAGAAGTGGATGGATTCAAGAGATGTTTAGGAGTGTGGGCCCTGACATGAGGGAGGAGTTGGGATGACACATTCCCACATCACACACACGGCCTCTCTTTCACAACCATGTTGGAAAATCCGTGACCTGTAGGATATCTGTTTTCATGAAAGAACACAGATGGTAAGGAGGGAAAAGAGCACTGGAAAGGGGTCTGGAAATCTGGATCCTTAGTTCCTAACAATGCCTTTCTGCTGAGAAGCTGTGTGAACTTGGACAGTCATTTCACTTCTCTGGGCTTTAGCAAACTTATCTTTAAAATGCAGGGAAGATTAGATGACTCCTAAGATCCCTTGGAGATCTAACCTTCTGTGATTCAGAAGTTAGCTTTTAGTTATTTCTGCACGATTTCTCTCTAGAGGATTGATGGTAAATGTTTCAATTACACCCTAGTATCCTCTTTATTTTACAACAGGTGGGCCATCTCCCTAGAGGGTATGTGTTTCCTGAATGCAAACAAACTTCAATGTTACCTGAAGTGAGAAGCCAAGTAAAACAAACAAAAAAACCAAACAAAACGTATAGTGTAACTTGTATAATGATAATCAGGCATGATGGGACTTGTGTTACTATCAGGATATTTTAATAAGTTTGAACATTTCAAGAAGCAATGTTGTTTTATTCAAAGTATAACTAATCTAGGTGATAGCAAGCCATTTTAAAACAGAATTCTTCTGTGTAAATTATGTTTGGATTCACTCAGCACAGCTATCTTCATAAGCAAGGTTCTGCATTGACTAGATAGTAAAAACTCATTAATTAATATGCCATAATTTGTGATAATTCAGCTAGAGATGAATCAAATGTATCTTTTTTCATTATCTATAAGGAAAATGCATTAGTGTGCATTGTTTCATTAAAAATACTTTATAATTAAAAAGAAATAAGCTATTAAGAGGGGTTGATTTAAAAAATGGCACTGCCCATTAATTAGATAAAAATGAATGCAAGGGATTTTATTTCATTTTGTTTCACTTTGTTTGGTCACACTTACCAAATCCTTGGCATTTAGAGATACTTCATCCCACCAGGGGGAGATAAAGTAATATTCACAATTCAGAATTCTCCTAAACATGAACTGATCGCCTCTTTCATCATAGAATGGTTCAAATCCACAAAGTCTAGAGGGACAAAAGATAGAGAATAAAATGTCTTTTAAAAGCCTAAGCATATTTCACCAATTTTTTGCAGAAATTCAAGACTGTCCTTTTTCACAGCTTCCTGTTATGAATGTAATCGCTCAGTTTAAGTATGTAATCACCTTCTTACAATTCACTTTTGATTATATAAACACACAGTCATGTCTTCAGGAAGTAAGAATAGACACAAAACCAATTTAAGATTTCTACAAAAAGTTATAATCATATTAATAATTATGACACAAACAACAATAATAATAGCTAACACTATTATAGGCATTATGCTATAGTGCTATTTCCATGGATTTTTTTTGCGGTACGCGGGCCTCTCACTGTTGTGGCCTCTCCCGTTGCACAGCACAGGCTCCGGATGCGCAGGCTCAGCGGCCACGGCTCACGGGCCCAGCCACTCCACGGCATGTGGGATCTTCCCGGACCGGGGCACGAACCCGTGTCCCCTGCATCGGCAGGCAGACTCTCAACCCCTGCGCCACCAGGGAAGCCCTCCATGGATTTTTTCCCACCAGGAATTGAGAAGACAGATTGATTAGAATTCCAATTGATTACAAAACAGAAAAGTTAGGATTTTGAGAATAAAAAGGTTAAAAGGTGGAAAGAAAAGTTTTTAGTTGTTTTTATTCAGCCCTTTTCATTTGAATTCTTCCATAGAGATGAATAAAATATTCGATTTCCATCCCATTCCGGTTTGGATTTCAGAGTGAACAAACACAAGAGCTAACACTATTGTCAGGGAATGGCCTTTTAAAACTTACTACAGTGAGCAGCTGCACCCAGCAGAGGTGAGCAGCCTAGCGTTAGCGCAACCTGGTAAGGACCCTCACTTTTGCACATCTTAAAGACATCTCACTATGTTCACCTTCATCTTCCATCACGGGTCAGCATAAAAATGTATGAGAAAAGTGGGAGAAAAGAAACAGAGAACCATCTCTGGCATCCTAAAGAGAGAGAGGAAAAGTGAGTTGCTGGTCTGGGACCACCAAGCCTCTACTGTTTATAGGTGGGTGGAGGTACTGAAATCACTAAAGACCAAACGGGACCTATTTTTTAAAAGTCCTGCTAGGGCATGTGTTGCATCTGACAAGGAATGAAGGAAAAAGAATGAAAAACATTTCCCCAAATTCTTCCTTCAAACTGGCCAGGTTGGTGCCGAGAATGAAACATTCCAGTGCATCCTAATGTAGTGAGTTTCTAGGAAGAAGCAATTTCTCATGTTCTTTTGCTCAGGGAACGTCCTGTTGGGAGAGTCTTTGTTTCTTTCAAATACTGTGGAGCCAGCCAGGAAAAGGCAAGGCTCAGGGAGTGCTGAGGCCTGGGCTGTGCATCCTCCCTCTCCCACTGCAGAAGTCCGCGCAGAGAATACTGCTCCAGCAAAAGGAGAGAAGGGAGCACAGGTCCACACGTTGCCAAGGAGGCAGTTCATCCTCACCTGGCCCTCCTCTGCCCTCCAAAACACTAGAAAAACATAGCCTGTTGTTGGCTAGTCATGGAGAAATTGGTCAACTTTCCAGGCTTAGTTTAGGGAACTCTTAATGTTTCCCCTTCTGGAAATCTAGAGAGAAAAATGATAGTTCAGAAGGTACAGTACTCAAATGCCTTTCTTTCCTCTCAGTCATGTCAGCAAGTCTGTGCATTGGTAACAGAGGTAAAAAGTTTATCTCACCAGCCTGAAATGTCAAAAATGGAAGAAATGTGACAGAGAGCAGCACGCATGTGTGCATGAGCACACAGACACACACACAGAGTAAGAAAACCCTTTAGAAATGGCAATATTTGAATGCTGACATTGACAGTTTAGGAGGAGATTAGGCTTATAAGGCCTGAAGTGTGACTGTATTACACAGGGTAACTCCAAGCCATTGAGCAGAACTGTAGTGTTGAAAGCCGAAGGACAGAATTTGAATCTCTGATGTTATCTGATTCTGATTTTGACCTGAGAACTGTTAATAGTTGCTTTTGTCTGTGGGGAGAAAGGGTTTTGATTTAACGCTTTAAACCAAAGAGAGGGACCAGAATTCTTGTAAGAAACAAAATGGCCTTTATTTCCAGGCTACTGTCATCCTTAAAAATAGCAAGGTCATAGCACAAAATAGCCTGGTGGAACTCTTAATAATAATAAAGGAGGTGCATAAGCCCAATGGCACAATCCACTGGAGAGAATGGTCCAATGAATCTTTTGTAGTGGACTGCATCAATTATTAATGAACTACAGATTAAATAAAAAGTCCCTAGGCTTAGGGGCTGACATAAGGTGGATCAGAACTAAAGGATATTAGGGGCTTCCCTGGTGGCACAGTGGTTAAGAATCCGCCTGCCAATGCAGGGGACACAGGTTCGAGCCCTGGTCTGGGAAGATCCCACATGCCATGGAGCAACTAAGCCCGTGCGCCACAACTACTGAGCCTGCGCTCAAGAGCCTGAGAGCCACAACTACTGAAGCCTGCGCGCCTAGAGCCTGTGCTCCACAACAAGAGAAGCCACCGCAATGAGAAGCCCAGGCACCGGAACGAAGAGTAGCCCCCGCTGGCCACAACTAGAGAAAGCCTGTGTGCAGCAACAAAGACCCAACACAGCCAAAATTAAATAAATAAATTTATTTTTTTAAGAAAAGAACTAAAGGATATTAGTTGTGAGCAGCACTGTTATTTTAATTTTGGGGGCTGCTACCACTTATTCAACCAACACCTATAATTAATGGCCTTAAGTGAACTAGGGGAAAGAAACGAGAGATTTAAGAAATTATTTTCAGGGTTACCATAAGACGTTTCTCAAATGGCTCCAATTTTTCTCTTCATTTTCCCATGTTAGTGACCATGTCATGGAGTTTTACTCATCCCATATTTCAGTTTTTCAAGGCAAATATTACTAAATTTCCTACCTTCATCTCTGAGTTCTTACACATCCTCAATGCTTCAACCCCTCCCATCACATTTCAACATGAAACTCTAATTGGGTGGGCACATTTACATTTTAGGGGCAAATCTGGAGCATTATTTGTAGTTCAGTTTTTCACTTAACATCACTAAGTATGATATGTCACCCACATAATTCAGGAGACAACATTCTTTCACAGCATAAAAGTGATCTTAAATGTAAGCTGAAGGGATTCTATGATGCGGCCTTAGGAATTCATTTTAATGAACTAACAAGCACTTGGTGTGGCAAACAAATTACCTAAAAGTTTTCACTTTCCTAAGAAAAAACATGGTTCCCTAGCTCTCCAAATTCTTCTTAAGCTTTAATACATCCTGGAAACACAGGGAATTGATCACTGAAATATCTTTTGACATTACATAATAGCAGATGGCTATTTTATGGGTTGCTTTTAAACATTTTTATGGTTCTTACTGACCAATATAGCAATATAAACCCAGGTGAACTTAGAGTTTGCTAACTTGCTTGTGGGTTCTACCCTAGTTACCCTCTTCCTAGCCCATATTACCTAGACACCACACTTTCTAAGATCACTATTAAATTAACCAAACCAAACCAAACCAACCTCTTCCTACTATGGACTGAATTGTGTTCCCCCCAAATTAATATGTTGAAGCCCTAACCCCCAACATGATGGTATTTGGAGATGGTGCCTTTGGCAGGTAACAGGGTTAGATGAGGGTCATGAGGTCATGATGACCTCATGAGGGTCATGAGGTCATGAGGTCATGATGGGATCAGTGCCCTTATAAGAAGAGACACCAGAGAGCTTGCTTCCTCTTTCTGCCTTGCGAGGATACGGTGAAAAGGCAGCTATCTGCAAGCCAGAAGACAGCTCTCACCAGAACCTGACCTACTGGCACCCTGACCTCAGGCTTTCAACCTCCAGAACTACATTTCTGTTGTTTAAGCCACTGAGTCTATGGTATTTTGTTATAGCAGCCTGAGTTAATTTGCTTTCTTCCCCACCCTTCAAAATCTCTTTACAGATTTGAATATTACAGGTTCCAACAATTAACTCTGCAGTATCCTCTAATTGAAAACCAAATCTACTTGGTTTGAATTAAACTTTGGAACTCATTGATGTCTTGCTTTTGTAGTTGTTCTACAACAGCCTTCCTCCCAGATACTCTTCCATTGTTCTTGATTATTTCCCTTGTATTTGTCTGCAATTCCATCATCTCTTTGGCAAACTGAAACCCCATGTTTATTAGTGGACAGGAGCTCAGGAATGGAGTTGGGGATACCAGAGAGTGAGAGATTTAGCCCCCCCCTTTTTTTTCTCCCAGAGAACAGGTTTCTCTGAGTTTAGGGTATTAAACTAAAGGTCCTTGAGAACTTAACAGATATAGGAACCAAAACCGATAGCCCAAACGTATTTAAAACATTTCTGATAAGAAACATACCAGTTTGGGATTGCTTCAGAGATTAAACAGCCATTTGCCCCTTCAAAAGGAATAATACTCTAATCATTTGGACGAGATGCACATAAATAAAATAAGTGCAAGTTTAATAGGTGGATTTGTTTCATGCTCATTACTATCATCAAACAATGAATTGTTCCCCAAATCTGCTATACACTGCATAGCAGAATGAGACACAGCAAAGCCCTAGACAGAAGTTCTGGCCCCAAGAAAATGACAAAATAAAAAGCAATTGCTCATTTTCCGAAAATTCCATCAGTAACTACACTTAGTATGTCATAGAAAACTACAAAAAATCAAAAAGGAATCTTGTTTTTTATGAGGACTATGAGTAACTAGAAAATATTTCAGCAAAGGCCAACAGTATGCTTAGAGATTGCTTTTCTTCACTTACAAGATGTAGGTGATTATTCCTACAGACCACATGTCCACCTCAGGTCCATAGGCACAGCCTCTAAGAATTTCAGGTGCTGCAGAAAGAGTGAAAACTGTATTAAATTACAGTTTAAATTCAATATTCACATTTTAATAACAAGCAATAGGGAAGAAATGAATTCGTCAACAGAAACTTCAGCACAGTTTTATAACCAATCTTCTCTCCCCAAACCAAAGTATGAGTCTACAAATTCTTATGTCTATTTTAGTGGGAGACATTATAGTCTCTCTGTGTTTGGGGTGCATAAAAATAAAGTTATTAAATGTAATATTCTACATCAGAACATCATGATACTGCTCAAATCAGATAGAGCTATATTTCTGCTACAAAGGGAGCTGTGTACATAGAAAAGAAATGAAAGTTTAGCATAGTAAGGGGAAAAAGGCACAATCATGCCGCCTGGGGTGTCCACGAGTGTGTGTGTGTTTGACAACGTGCAGGGCAGGGAGCAGGGCAGACAGTGAGAGGACTGGAAAGTCTCTAGTACTGGAAGGTTGGAACAGGAGCTAGGAGGGGCCCTGGCACATGTCTCGGTGCTGAGAACTACACATAGGTCCTCAGAGAGCAGCTGTCCCCAGTCAGTTTGGGATTATGAACTGAGAAAGGGGGCTTCCCTGTGCACAAGGAGGCTGCTCCTATCAGCCCTGCCCACCATTGTGAAAATGGAAGGTCTTCTCAGCCATTAAGCGGCCTGGCCCAGTAGTATAGAATAGTGAGATCTTCCATGATTTTATTACCTTAGAGCCGTGACAATGAAGAGTTAACTGGGTCTAACTGTTTGCACTGAGGATTGGAGGTGTTGTTTGTTTGCCTAACTAACAAAGGAAGAAAAGAAGTGAGAGCTCTACCCTCTATGTAGAAATAGGGCTCAGGTTTAGAGCCCAGAGTAGCCCCTTTCTATTTTGAACAAAAGTGCTGTCTGTAGGTGTCAGCAGGGCCCCTAAGGAGCTGATTGATGAATGCTGAGGGGTCCTTGAGGGAGGCCTTGGGGACAGGGGTACCACACTTCTCCTTCCCTCAGTGGGGCAGGAGAGCAGGATCCCTTGTCCATGCAGCCTGGGAATGTCAATATTGGTGGAGATTGTCAAAGTGAGCTCCTAAAGGAAGCTGTTCTCATGGGACTCTGAATTTAATTTACAGGAAGGAACACAGCAGAATTTCCACTGATGTCTTCCCATTCTATCCCCTTCTCTCCATCCTTTTCCAACCAGAATATTCTCTTCATATTTTATGTAGAAACTGTGTTACATAAAATATAGGAGATGAAGAGCCTGTTTAATGATGGTGTGCATTCTAGCACTCTGAGAAGCAATTCAGCAAGATGCACCCTTTGAGGAACTGGATCTGGGGCCAAGAAGTTTTTCTCATCTATGAGCAAATTACTCCTAGAATATTTTCCTTTTAAGATTTAATTAAGATAATTAAGAAAAATGCACGCTCAAAGCCAACACCATTCTCTCTGTCAGGTTGGCTTCCGTTTCTAGAGCCATCTGTACCCACAGACAGTTCCTTTGGGCCGCAGCAGCCCCCGCACTGAACTCCCACTCGAAAATGATTTGCTCATCATAGTGCAAAGGGAACTGAGGTTCGGCTGCCACTTTCAGAAGGGTTGCTACTGTCAGGGAGCTGAACACATGCATATGGCATGCACAGTTTGTACCATGTGCCCTTCCCCACTCCAGGTATCCACATCCGTGAAGCGTTATCAAGTGTCGTACTGACATTTCAACATAAACACAGAGATATGTTGGGGACAGTCTTATATTTCCTGGGTCTTGGTTTTTACCTCTAGTAAATGAATCGAACTAGCGAATTTCCAAGTTTACTTTGAGTTTTAGCCACTGTGATGTACGTAAAGGGATAGTTATTAGAGTTTAAGCAAGAAGAGAGGACAAGCACTCCTGCTACAGAACCTGCTGAAATCCCATCCCTCCCATCAGAGCGCCTACTGTGTCTGCTGCCCTGCAGGCACCTATCCTGTCAGGTCCAGTGAAATCAAACCTCCTGTCCTGTGCTGTGCAGAGGTCAGCACGCTGTCTCGAAGGTCAGGTGCTCTCTCAGGACATCCTCCATAGCTCCCAGGCCAAGGGCCCCAAACGAAGTGAATACTACGGAACAAAAGCCTTTCTGAATCCACTTTAGAGGGCATCTGGGTTTCTTAGCTGATATGGCAATATCTGATCTCCCTTCACAGCACTGGGTGCAACCTTACTCTCCAGAGGCAATTTATTTCCTTGTAAGACCTTATGCTGCAATGTGAGTAAACTGGTGGTGTGAAAAGCTAGACTTTCCATAGGGAGGTTAACTGAGATGAAAGGAATATAGAACGTTTTCCCCCTCCATAATAAATTCCTCTTAAAAAGAATTTTTTAAATGAATTTATCCTATTGAATATTTACTAATCCTAATATAAAATTTGGGTGAAACATGCCTAAATTCCTAGACACAATTAGATACCAATTCACAGTAACCTTTAAATATTTTCACTCATTAGTTAATATGACCTTGACTTCAGAACCAGCAGAACACATCCTTGTAATCTATCTGAACCCTTTCCAAGAGCCAAAAGGTTTTCTAGAATACATTTCAGATGCTGGCACGCCAGCGCTTCAAGTCTCCTAGGTATCAAATGTCCTTGAAGGTAATTCTACAGAATTGTGATTTTCTTAGAGTGAGAAATAGTTGACTACTTCCAGTTCAGTTCAAGAAAAGGCATCAACTAGTGCAACTATTAATGCTATAAGCACTTCTGGATGTCCTTCATATATTTTCTTACCTCGTTGCCAAAACAAACAAACAAACAAATGCAAAATGGGGGGATAAAACATTTCAAGGTGTAATACAGTTTTTAAAAATGTATTGTAAGTGATTTAGAACCATCTTTTCAGAAATAGTCAATAGTCATTTATTGATTTTCCTGGCTGTCTTCTAAGTAGATCCAAGTTTTCTGCCACTTCCTAAAGTTATCTTATCATTTATGTTATTGCTCATTAAACACTAAATGCTACAAAACTCCCAGGACACTTCACACTCCAATATCTAGCAATTGAAGGTACATATAAAGATTGGAATGAATTACGTTTTATTAAATAAAATCACTGTAACTGAAAATGGTTCTAAGATAAGAAGCATCAGGTATAGCCTGTGACACACTGATTGGTGCTAGGTTTTCCCTCTTTTCCTAAAGTCCTAGGAGAAGAATAGAGGGATAATTTAGTTCACTTCATTTTGTCAATGCCCTAGATGAGCTTTATGATCCCTTCCTACCTATGGAGTTAAAACTACAGAGTGGTATTCGTTATCAGAAGACTTTTTCAAACTACTGTTAACTGTTTTGAGACAAATCCAAGGGAGACTAAGGTGAATGAAATCAACAGGTTCATTCACTCACTCATTTAATAATTAATTTATAATAAATTTAATAAATTAATATATCATGACCTATTTGTTAAGCACATGCTGTATGACAGATACTGTTGGGTGGTGCTGGGGAATAATGGGGAGTTACAGAGAACAAGTCTCCATCATCACGGAGCTTACAGTTTGGTGGGGGAGGTAGATGCTGAATCAAGAAAATCATACGGGGACTTCCCTGGTGGTCTAGTGGTTAAGACTCTGCGCTCCCAATGCAAGGGGCCGGGGTTCCATCCCTGGTCAGGGAACTAGATCCTGCAAGCTTCAACGAAGATGCCTGCGTGCCGCAACTAAGACCTGGCACAGCCAAATAACTAAATAAATAATTTTTCTAAAGTATCCTTTAAAAAAAAAAAAAGAGAAGAAAGAAAACCATATGAAGAAACGTAAAGTGGTAACCGGAAGCGCTTGGAGGGAGAGTGGCTCTAATAGAGGGCTGACCTGGTCAGAAAGATGGAGAAATTTGATCAGAGAAAGCAAAGTTTAAACAGATGTAAAAGATCTAGAGAAGTTAACTAGGCAGGGGGAGAGGTAGTGGTTGAAAGAGACAGAAGAGGGTTCGGATGGAGAAAGCACACGTAAAGAGACCTTGCGGCAAGAAGGAACAAGTGGCCCTTAGGGAACCGGAGCAGTCAGCGTGGGTGGAGCGTAGCCGGTGTGCAAGGCCCAGGTGCATCCAGCGCCTGGGAGGCAGGTCCAGGCCAGACTGCAGATTCCACTAGTTCAGGGGTTTCTTTGTTCGTTTGTTTTTAAATTCTCTCCTACATTTTCATTTTAACCATTCAAAACATATGGGAAATATAGCCAATATTTTATAATAACTATAAATGGAGTATAAACTGTAAAAATTTTGAATCACTATTTTGTACACCTGAAACTAATATAATATTGTCAATCAACTCTACCTCAATTGCAAAATGGAAAAAAAAATCTATTTTCATCTTAAGGCCTGAATCTGACTTTACAAAACTACTCCCCCGCCCACCACAGCTGAGGGAAAAAACACTGTGGAGCTTTCACTGTAGAGGTTTATCTTGAATTCATAGTTTTCTGGGGGCCACAAAAATCCATGGCATCTTTAGCACAGCGTCTAGAAGTCTCTGGGGAGTGAGCAGTTTGGAAGGAGGAAGGAGAGGGATTTATCTGCCAGAAGCAGAAGAGCAGTGTTTGGAAATTCTCTGCTTCTTCCTGGTTCCTAACTTGGCCTGGGAACCGGGAGGAGAATGCCTTCAGGGTAGCGTCCTATAGGTGGCAGCAAGTGCCCACAGCCGGGCAGACTCCAAACTTGTCCTTTTCTTAGCATCTGTACCATGTGTGGTCCTTTGTGATGGTGTCACATACATTTGGCAAGAATAAGGCACAACCTTTTTAACATTGTCAAGTGCAATTTTTGCTTTGACAACAGAGAAGCCAGGCGATGTTCCAGTGCTACATGTTATAACAAAGGTATGGAATGGATCAGACTGTGATACAGTTGAGATGCTTCCAGAGGGGGTTGCCTCTGGCTAGGAGCAGCCTTGTCACTTTACTACAGTGAATCTCAGAATACTATCAATTCTTGCATGCCATGCTGTGGAAGCTTGAGAACGACAGAGGAGGCATTTGAAGCCCCTGTCACTT